CAACAGAGCGGTAATTGACGCAGAGACGTGTCAATCATATCTTTTTTACCATTGCGACGAACAAAGTCCTCCCATGTGCTCTCACACGAGACTTTTATGCTGTTATTTTATCGATTCACTAGTGAATGAACGCACGGATGTCAAATGCAGGCGTTCGCGTGACAGAGTTTGTACGCTTCGTAGTCCTGCGCAAAATGGCTATGATCTCTATGTTGATATTTCAGTTATTCGGCGAAATACGGCCGGGCAGCGAGCACGACTTGCGCTGGAAAACACGAAAGCGTTTTCGCTCACGGCAAGGATCGTTCTCAAGGATGATCTCCGCGCTCGCGCACGAGCTGGCTCGTCTCCGTTTAAACGCGAAAAGGTGAAAGTTGAGCGAGGCATACCGTACTAGAGGCTTTTCATATTTAAAGGTCAACAACTGGTGGCCGACAATAACTGCGACGTTTCTTCCGCTTACGTGGCAATTTTATGCCAATTTCATCGCTACGTGACGGGTATCGAGGCGGGGATATTGGAGGAGCCTTGTAATTTTTTAATAAAACGGCGACGAATTCACCGCGGTATTGAATAATATGTAACGATCCGAATAAAATATCAGCGTTAGAAATAATTTTATGAATTTTTAATTCAAGGCACATTCATGAAAGGCTTTTGCCTTTAAGTCTTCGTTGTAATAATATCTGTTTGGAACTCGGTATTTCCCAGAATCGGTATTTCGAACTTATATTATTAATTACAGCTTTGAAGCATTGATTGCACTGATACTTAATTTAAATAGAAAATTCGTACTAGAAATGTGAAAATTGACAATCTCTTTTATTACATCCGCAAATTACTAATTATCGCCTCAATTTATTATTTATTATTTCAATTCTCCATCTAGAAATTAGCCCAGTAATTATGTAGGACTTTAATCTTGTCTTCAAATTAGACGCTCAATTCTAATATTCTTTCACCCGATTTCCTAATCCCTCTTAATTCAATTCATATTCTATTAATTCTGCGAAGTTAGTAACGGTTGAATGAAATTAATTATTGATGAACAAGGATACGCGGACTGAAAAAAGTCTCGAAAAATGACGTGAGGAGATAACGCGTAGACATGATGGACGGTGTTGAGTCGCTCGCATGCGAATGCCGGCGGCTGTAGAGACAGTTTCAGAGACTTCGTCGGCAATTGTGCATTTCTCACTTTCTTGCGCGTAAGGGGTCCATTAATCGCCCCCATATCCATTCCCTGAAAGGGAAGTCTTAAAAGAGTCGCGCGTGAAAGAAATATATATATATATATATATATATATATATATATGTGTACACACACGCGCGCGCGTAAAAGAGCGTCTGCTTTTCCTTCTATCTCGCGCCAACTTCTCTCGCCGGAAAGCGGATTTTATAACGGTGCATCCCGTTCGACTTGGCGTATCTCGCACGATGCTCTCGCGGGCTCGTTAATATCGTCGAACGAAAGTAAAAACTTTCATTCGCGCGCTACTGCTGACTGATGTCGTGCGTGCTTCCTAGGAAGAAGATCCCCGGCGGCGTTACGTATGCGATCGCTTATGTGCAGCCTGTGTACCAACCGGATATCGCGACTTTACGAGACGCTTGGATAACGTACGTTCCGACGTACTTTCGATATGTTACCGGTTACGGTTATTCCGCGCGCTCTGTCAGCGATGTTCGCCATAAATCATTGAAAAATATCGCCCGCTACAATTACTGGCAGTAGACTAACGCGACTCCGTGTATTTCGGATAGGCAATTCAAAGCTACAACGTCCCACCTCGACATGACGGTTTTATTTTACGTCATATAGAGGAAAGTCCTCTATTATGAGAAAGGATTCTAATATGAGACAGCAGGTTTTCAACGTCCAAATTCAGTCGCAAACCTTTTTTCGCAACAATTTCACGATTTAACAATCAATTTTTCACTAAACCGATTTCACCCCAAGGGGAATAAATTTATAATGGAACCAACAGATGATGACTATTATTTTAGCAGGAACTCCGCTAGCCCGTATTAGGAGCCTGTCTCATAATAGGGGAGTTTCCTCTGTATTCTGACGATTTGATATATATTTTTTTAAATAAATAAGAATGTCATTAACGCAGTATGAAATTTCGTTATTGACATTTTATTCATCTGCCTTCCGCTCGTGCATCTGGAAGCGCTCTATTATGGTAACAAGGTCTCTGAAATGCCTTCGAGAGCGCGATGCATTAATACAGATCTGCATTTCCATATGTATATATCAATTTACACATGAACGTGAACTCTGTTATAAGTAGACTGCATGCGCGCGTCTGTGGCATAAAAATTATCATTCTAAGAACCTGTACACTCTTACTCCCATGAGCGTCTGTATGGGGTCACACCCTTTACACTCTCGTAGACTCTCATGAATGGCAAGTTGGAGTAAAGGCTGACCGGTTGTTGCCCTACATCGCTTCAATTTTCTCTTGTTCCCTAATGCAGCTCGTCGAGTCTCCCCTGGGGTTTCCTGCCCAGGGAATTTGATTGATTTGCTACGATTTCCGCAGAATTCCAACGGTGCCCGTTAATGGGGCTCGGAAATACCTCCCCGAATAGATATAGATGTTTAAGGACCAAAAGAGAGAAGATTAGCTTTTGGTCGGTGAAAGTGCGTCATTACAGTGCCCGTCGTGATCGTGTCGTTGTACTTTGCTTAAATTGCATTGGAAATGAGATGCCCATCTGACGATTTCCACGGTAATTACGAGGATTCTCCGTAACGAAAACCGTAGGCGGTAAAACCATTGTGGCGATTGTGGTGACAGAAAGAAAGCAAAATTATGGAGAATAATTTTACATTTCCTATAATCCCGCGTTAATCGGAAGCTATTTCTTGGACGTTAATAAGCTCTAGATTGACTCCTGGTCGCGCGCTCACGGCAACTCTGGAAGTAAATGAGAGAGATTCTCCTGCATAAGGTGTCTTACTCGCACATTGAAAGCGATATCGTTGACACATATTTAAATTACTTTTTCAAAACTAATTCTTGTTAAAACCATTAATATTAGTATCATTATCAACTTTACGCTTTATTGTACGCAGTTAATTAATTAACAATGTTAATGGTTCACTTTCTTTAAAGATTCATTTTTCCATAAAATAAAAATTAACAAGTTAAAACTACAAACAAGGATTTGTTGCGCTTTTCAGTTTAAAAGTTAATTGCAGCTACAAAAAATATTTACGTGAAAAGTAATAATTAAAAAAATTAATTAACAGAATAAATAATTATTTAATGAAATATATTTTTAATGCTTATTTATTTTTTCAAATAATATTAACTATTAATTAAATTGTCTATATATTTTTCAACATAACGTTAAGCTTAATTAATTAATTAATATTGATCGAGTTCTTGATCTCTTCAAATTTGATGTTAATCAGTGGAATAAAAACTTTTTACTTTAGAGACAAGCTAAAAATAATTAAAATATAATAAAAATAAAAGCTATGGGGGCAATAGGAGCCGTCACCGGAAAGAAGGTGATAAAAATAATTGTTTTTCACTCCTCACTTTATCTTTTCATACAACATGGAACGGCTGATAAGTTGAAAATACAATGTAATCGTTATTGATAACATAACGTCTTACCATAGTATTGCGAGAGAGCACATACTCGT